TTTCCCTCATTACTGAACTTGATGAAACTGGAGATGGGCTTAATCCCAGAGGATGCTGAGTACCTCAACTCCCATGGAAGCCCATGGGTGTTGAAAGCACTCAGGTCATGTAGGATCAGATTCAGCAATTGCATTGTGCTGTAAAGCACACCTAGACAGGCAGAAAAATGTAACAGGGAGAATAGAAGAGATTTTGGCTCAAGGCTGTCAAAGCACATGGTGAATATACCACCCTTTCCCTTCCAGCCCTGCAGAAAATGCACAGCACTCCCCTCTCTCATCAGGTTCCTGTCAGAGTCAAAGCTTATTGGTAAAGATCTGAGCTTTGGAGCCCAACACTATCTCTCTGCTTCTCCCCTTGGGAGCCAGGAAGTTTGAATTTTACAGTGAGATACATGAACATAATAAGGGAAAAGTATATTTGGGTTTCCAGCAGCCGTAACAGAGATCCAGCCAGCAGGCGTTACCCACAATGGGCTCATTGACTGACCGGCTCCTGTCTGCACTCCTTGCACTGACTGTACCTGTGAGGGAACCTGTCAGGTTGCCAAGTCCAGCACATGTCAGGAGCTTGACTATGCATCCCCTGCGGCCAAAGGAACAGCCGTTCTGATTCTGAAGCCCAGATGCCTCTCCCTGCACCCAGCCAAGAGTTTCTGCATGAGACAGAAACATGCAGGTACCCCTAGGGAGATTAAAGTTCATCACATTTGTCCTCATGATAAAATGGTCTCATTAAAATGATGCTCACAGAGCTGCTCTAAATAGTCCCCCAAGACAGGGCCAGAACAAGGGATGGACATAAATGCAATGACATGTTGGCACTGAGAAGGGACAAAGCATTAAGATGGCTCAGCTCTGTTCTTGGTTCTGACACTGACAAGTTGAAATAACCTTGAGCAGGTCACCTAGCCTCATAGTGCCTCAGTTTCCCCCTCTGTGGAGTAAAAATAGTAATCCTGTAACTATCAGGGTGCGCTGTGCAAGTCCTTTACAGATAGACAGCTTTCCCCCAGGATTAGGAGACCAATGGAAGATCCAAAAGGTTTGGTTGTTAGTGACTTAGAAGTTCCCTACAAGGTCAAATTCTATCTGTTTGACCTACTCAACCACCCATTAATGAGGGCCAGATGGACAGGCCCCTGGTCAAGCTCACTCTGCCCTAAAATTGAAACCAGATGAGACCACTCCAGCCATTGATTCACTGGCTACTTGTGCTTGGAATGGGAAAGCAAAATAATGAGAGCTCATTCCAAGGATTCCTCAGCCATTGCATAGTGTAGCCAGCTCCTGGCCTGCCCCATGCAGGGGAGAGGCACATGCAAACCAACACAAGCCCTGGATCCGTTTCACTGGGATAACAGATTGAAACAATCTGGCAATAGCAAACTGGCGCCACCAGCATGCCCCTCCAAACCCCCCAGCATAACAGGAGGCCAAAGGGTGCAATTGCAAAAATGTGGTCTACAACAGCAGGCAGGAATGTTCAATTAAAGATGCCTCTGTAACTGGAGGGGTTTGCTTCAGTTGCTGCTGTTTTCAGGTAGGGTTTCGTGAAGGGAGACCTGAGATCACAGCCTTGCTAGGAATGCCCTGTTGATGCTGCACTGGTGTGGGGTGATGCACTGCGACTGGGCTCAGCTACATTATTACATCGCTTGAAGACTATGACGCAGCTTGACAACACCAGGGTGTATCACGAGTGATTTCAGCACCCAGAAACACCCCTGTCAATCAGCCAAGGGTTCCTCCATAACATCTTCTGCTCCTCTGAGTATCTAAAGGTGCTTTCCCACCATTGTTTAAACAAACTCCAAGCCTTCATACATGTAGGCATAATTATCTGGAATTGATTGGGGAAACTGAGGCACAGACCGCTGATGTGAACCATCCTGCAGCAGATGTGGGAAGAGAGCTCTACAACCTTTACATAGCTTCTTCCCAGCTTCAGAGTCAACTCTCTTCCAGATCTATATGCAGAGAAGGGGGTAGAAAACAAATGGAAATGACCTCTTGAAGCTACCACCTGTGGTTGGGGCTGGACATGCTACAAGATCAACCATCCTGTTTACGGCTATTTCACTCCTGGACCAAGAATGAAATTCAGAGGTGCAGAGACTGAGACAGATGTGGAAAATATGGAGAAAATTAATGGACCTTTTCAAGCCTCTAAGCATGCTGGTTCTAGGATTGATGTCTGCTTTGGACAGATTCCAGTCAGCCCGTACTTCCCCAGCAACCACCCCTGTCCATATGCCTGCGGCGTGTAAGAAAGAAAGAAGAGCTAAGAACAATGTTTGCCAAGGTGTTTTACCAATGACGGCTTATTTCCAAGGGATTCATAGCAGCACCGTTTGATCTAGGAATCCGTCTGGCTGCTGGGAAGGGTGGGCATCAGCATTTTAATACAATCCAGGAAATGGTTTGCAGTAGCAGGCTCTGTTTTTTGAGCTATTAGTAGGTATTTATTAGGCATGTTCTCAGCACCGTACAGGGCACAGGCACTTCCCACAGGGCTTGCACCATGAAAGATATAAAACAAATGCAGCTCTTGCAGACACCAGATGCAGCTGTCAGATGAATCACACCTGAGCCCAGGCCAGAAGCCACAATCTTCAATTCTAACAATCCAGGCCTCTCCTGTAGCACTACCATGAAACACAGAGGGAAGGACAAAGACTGGAGGAACCATGAGGAAACCAGCCTGTGTGCAGAAGCAGAATAGAGCAGCTCCATGTCCTGGGCAGCTGTTCTGCATAGGGTAGCTTCAGCTGCTGTATTGCCGGCAGTGGCGGTGGTGTGGCTAGCCATCAGTGGCTATTTGTGTGCTGCTGTATTTGTATACTGCTGCATCAGTGGCTATTTGTGTGTCTCCCACAAAGGCAGTGCCTTGGGCTGCTGCCTCAGTTGCACCCCTCCACCCTCCCTCCCAGTTACACTTACACTCTAGCCTACCTGCACCTGACTTGATTGCTAGCAGCAGTTGTTGAATCTCTGGGTTTGTTTTTTTCAATTAACAACTAATTGAGTTTTACAAGCATGAAATCTTTCCCTATTATTACACAGCACAGTAAATAAAATACCTGCCCCTGGGCCTGAGAGAGATCGGATGCAGCTCAGAGTAGTAGCACATCACGGTATCTCTCTGTGGAGGCAGTCATCACAGGTCAGCTCTGCCTCTTCACACGCACAAAACCCCTGCAGTACAGGCCAACCACAAGAATAGCTGCTGGGAGTATGGGGTCTGCATTAGAAGAGTGCTTAGTGCCTCCTAGGAGATGCTGAGCAACTTCAACTCCTCTGGACTTCACCAACATCCTGGTGACTCTGAACACCTTGCTGTTTCTGGCCCCACAACCACTTCAGGGAAAGATTTGGGTCCAGAGAGGAGTTGAAATTATCCTGCATTGGCACTTCTCTCTCTTGCCGAGCACCTTCATCTCCCATTGTAGCAGAATGGCTGCAGCACCACACTGGACTGGGCCCAGGATGGGTTGGAGAGGAGCCTCCCCCACAGACTGGGAAAGTGTTTTGCGCAGCACACCAGTGTGGACTGTCAGAGGGCAGAGCACTTGCTGCGCCTCCCTCACGCTGTGCAATTTCCTTGGGGGCCCACTGGGTTTGCCTGTCTTTGTAGCCAAGGGCACACAAGCCAGCAATGCAGCTACGAACATATGCGACCACTTTGACCCCAGTCCAAATGACCAACAAGCCCTTTGCAGCTGGGTGACTGGGGACAGCCTTCAGTGTGGGTATGGAGCAAGGCCCCAACTAATTTCCTTGGGTCCATAGCATCTGTTTCATTTTTGTAACAGCTCCCTTCGGGTTAACACATGGCTCTGGTCTTGCGGTGCTCTGGACTGGTATCTGGCATTCATCTTGGTGGCAGGTTTCTGAGCTTTGTCCTTGGCTGAGCTGGGGAAAAAAGCTCTGTTTGTGTGGGTCTGAAGGGTGAACCCCACTAGGAAAAGCAACTGGACTCTCTTGCGGAGAGGTAAGAGTCTGACCTCAGAGTTAATAAGCACAGACCCAAAAGTGACCTTTCTAGGAGCGACCCCTCAGCCCTGCTCTCGGGGCGCTAGTCAATACCTTCTTCGGTGTTCAGTCCCCTCCTGTCCTTCCATAGCTTCAAGTTAGACAGACAGACGGACACGAAATTTTTCTAGCTAACCTATGTTCTGGAGTAACATCCTTCTGATGCACACATACAAGATAGGCATTATCATTGCTATCACTGCAAAGGGGTGGGCTGCAACCCTTAATACTTACACAATACTCAGCCCTCAAAATTGTGACAAAAATTAACCAGCCTAAGGGCAAAAATTTGGCTTTACTTTTTTGACCGGGATTGTGTAAACCTTACTGACATCAAAACCCAACAGTGCTGCCAGTGGGGGAGAAGGTTTGCAGTTGGACTACTGTGAGGCATATGCTCAGAAGAACGCACGCCCACTGAAGCCTGTAACCTTAAAAGCCCTGATGTGCTTTCTTCCATGTAGGATAAATCCTAAACCAAAAATGAGTTCCTGGTAAAAATAAATAAGAACATCCCTATCCTACCAGACAGAAGGAATTTAAGCTTAGCTTTTCCCAGTAAAATCACATCACGAGAGTGTGTAACCCTGGAAGGTGTTGCTACATGTATGAGTGCTATTGCAAACTGCAGAAGAATAAGTGAAAACCATTTGCAGTAATCAGTTCATGGAGGTGCACTGGTCATTGACAGCAAATATGCACCCTGGGGTTATAGTAAGACCTTGTAGAACATGGTAAGACCTTAAGTGATTAAGGAGCCTGTCTTTTTCCCCCAGTATGGCTGATAGCCCAGTCAGGACAGGGCCAGACAACCACACAGGTCTTAGACAACACCCCCCAACCCACATGGGAAGCAGTACAGCTCATGGAATAGGACAGAAGAAAGGGAGTCAGCACCCCTGGGATCCCAGCTCAACCAGTGGCTTCCTCTATATGACCTGAAGTAGACCCCATGTGGTCTGAACCTTGGAAGAAGGCACACACCCCTCTAGCTAAAGTCTGGGGGGCGAAGGGGTGGGGGGGTGTAAGTGCACCTATGAAAATCAGGCCCTTCACTTCACTATGCCTCAGCTTTCCTATCTGTGAAGGAATACAAGTG